CCCGGGCGGCACCCCCAGCCCCGCGTGCCCTGTGGCGTGGGGCTCCCGGGCTGCTCCTGGGGACAATGGCAGGCAGGAGTGTCCTGCCCCGAGCCAGGCGGGAGAGGTCAACAGGTGACACGGGGAGAAGTGGAAGTAGGTAGTTAGTTTGGAAGGTATTATTTAAAGTTAATAAGCTGCAATTATATTGCTTGAACAGTAATCCCTTTGTTTCCCTTTGCTTTTTGCATATCTTTGGGTTTTAGTGGGGGAAGGTTATTTTTGTAATCTGTTGTTAGGGTGCTTGTACTTTTTAAAAATAAGATAAAGAGCATTTTTTCATACTTAAAATGGTTTCATGCAAAGCCTGTTTGTGTTTCTTATTTCCCATCTGTGCCTGTACATTAATAAAATTAATTTGAACGGGTCCTGCTTAAAATGCAGAATCTTTTTTTTCCTTTCTTTTTTTCTTACCTCTGAGAAAAGTTGTATAATACCTGAAGCCATCTCTGCAATCCCTGTAGCTGACTTGGTCCCGTATGGCACTGAGTGAGATTTGTGCTTCTTCTTACTCAGTTCGGTAACTGGGAGCAGAACATAGTCCTCTTATTTAACTTGGCTCTGCAATGCCAGTGCTGTAAGTCCTCAGGCAAATAAATGGTTTAAATCGATGTTTGGATCCAGTGTGGTTTTTAATAATGCTCTTCTTGTGATTTGGAGCCATTTGTGTTTAAATGACTTTCATCAAGAAAAGAAGCTCCCAACCGTTTATGGTTGGATGTGTACCTGCTTTTTATGTCTGAACCCAAGTCCTGTTGATGTTGTTGGGAGCTGTGAGGCTTGGTTCAAAGATCAGGCCATCTTCACATGCCAAACAGGATTTTTTTTTTTTCCCTTCTGTTTCATGGTTAATTTATAGTTTATATTCTTGGCAAAGTGAGTTTAACACCCAGCACTAAAAGACTGCAGAGACAAAGGCTGGGAAATGGCCTCTCAGCTGACAGTGATGGGAAGCTGCCATCCCCGCAGGCCAGGCGCAGAGTGGGCAGTGAGATGCTTTTTGCTCATGAGCAGAAGGGTTTTGCTGACAGGAGGAGAACGGTGAGACTCAGGAAGATTTGCTGCAAGCAAGGCTCTCAGTCATGTGTTTTCTTCCTGTTACCTGTGAATTTTTGGTTCTGAACTTTCAGTGAATGATGGGTAAAAGCCCAAATCAAATCTCCACATCCACCTACCGTTAGATGCTGGAGAAGTTCATGTCCCAGTACACGTTCGGCTGAGCTGACTCCTCAGTACCTTCTTCCCTAGCGGACTAGACTCTTGTATGAACTGTTCTTAGTGCCGCTTATCCATTGATGTTTAAAGCTGAACTAATTAAATACATAACCGGATAGAGTATCATATATGTAGGTGTAGAAATAGCTAGAGTTAACATACTATGCTACATTATTGTCTCTAACTCAGAGGGTTAGTAGAGGAGCTCTGCCATCAGGGGTTCTTTGCCCCTTCAATTATACAGAGATCAAAAGAACAAACAAAATCCTTGGAATCTGCATTTTTGATGGTCAGGGTTTTTTTTGCTGCTGATGTCTCTGTTAATAGACTGTTTCCAGTTTAAAATTTGCAGTTAAATAAGTGTGTTGGTATTGGCATTTGTCTAATTATGTTTGAAAATCAGTCTACCCAATGACCTCTGTTGTAGCATTTAAATCCATATGTGATAGGGCTAAAAAGCAATTTGGCCCTTTTTTGCACGGAATTGCAAAATGTACATTTGAAGCAAAAGCCGCCTAAATGCAAGGTTTCTCTTCTTTCTTTAAATGCCAAGATGCAAACATGGAGATTTGTGTTTCCCTTGATGCTTTGTTGATGCCAATAACACTTAGAGCAGTTTGAGGAGAGGAGCCTCCTGCCCCGCTGTGTGTGTGTGTTGTGTCATGGGCTGCTCAAGGGGAGCTGCCGAGTGCAGGTCGTGGCAGGTGCAAACAGCTCAAGTCTCAGCAGGTCAAAAAGACCGAGCTTGTCTCAAAGTAAGATACTTATTTTGAACTGTAATGCTCTTCTTTGTTCTGACAGGCGCAGTAAGTACAGCAAGGCTAAGCAAGAGGCAGATGAGGAGAAACATTTGAACCAAGGTAAAAGGCAGTGGTGCTTGGGTTTTTTGATTCGGTTCGTGAAACACGTCCCGTGTTCTGATCCTGGGAATATAGGGGATGACATTTCTCTTGAGATGAATCTGGCTTTGCTTTCCTCTCTTGCAAACATCCTGCTTCAAAACTATGCACTTCAGTAACAGGGAAAATAGAAGTATCTGGGTAAAAATTCTTGAGGAGACAGACAGGAGAAAGTTTCATTAGTTTTTTCCATTGTTCCCTTCCACTGAAAGACATCTGTTCCTGGGTAGTGATACCGTGATTTTTCCCCACAATGTTCTGCTAAGGCAGTTTCTGGATGGGCTGGAGGCAGTCCTGCAGGCAAGAAAATGTGAACTTTGCTGCCTTTTTTCCAGAACTGAATCCTGCTGTTACTTCCATCTCAGTCATCCAGGTACCAAATCTAGGACGTGAGCTCAGAATTTCTTGGCTCCCAAAAGGGAAATGTGATGTGTTTTAGTCTCACAGGTCCATAGATGGCTGTTGCCCTGTTAGTGATGGCAGTGATTTGTGAAGCTCATTTATTAGCAAAAGCCTGATTCCTTACATCAATATTGGGAAATATTAAATGTTTACATTAAAAAAAATCACATCGGGGAAAAATACATTAAGTCCTTCCTTCCTTCATCAGTCATTCCTGGCTTATAGTACATTTTTATTGTACACTCTCTTTGCTGTTGTATATCATTAAGGCTTCAGTCTCATATGTTCTGTGTTCAGCAGCATGTAGATCAGTGACTTCAAATAAAACATTTCTGCCTTGCAGGTGTTAGAACATATGTGGATCCTTTTACATATGAGGATCCAAACCAAGCTGTGAGGGAATTTGCCAAAGAAATTGATGCCTCCTGCATAAAGATTGAAAAAGTTATCGGTGTGGGTAAGTGCCAGAACTTTTGCATTTTTTTCTGTAAATATAGTTTTAAATTTGCTTTTAGGAACCATGGGATCCTATGATTTTTGTATGACAGTTCCCCCAAATGAACTGACATAACAGTTTGACAACACAGGTGTGTCCTTCATGTTCATGACCATGGCTTCTTGTGCCTTTTTCCTTAAGGGGAATTTGGTGAAGTATGCAGTGGACGTCTCAAAGTACCAGGAAAAAGAGAAATCTGTGTTGCTATCAAGACTTTAAAAGCTGGCTACACCGATAAACAAAGGAGAGACTTCCTGAGTGAGGCCAGCATCATGGGACAATTTGACCACCCCAATATCATCCACTTGGAAGGTGTAGTGACTAAATGTAAGTAGGTCATTTTCATGACAAGGCCAATTTGGAAGTCACCAAGAAATTAAGTCGCTGGTGGTGTGTGCTGGGTTTTTTTTTTCTTTTTACCCTCTTCCCTGTGAAATGACAGATGGAACAGATCCACTGATAGCTAATAGGAGGAAATCAGTGCAGGACAAGTCATTAATCTTGTTGTCAGCTATAAATGGGTTTATGGTTTCAACTGATACTCTATCTGTAGGCAGCTTGTACAAGATTTTTTAGGGGGAATTAATACTGCAGGGGTTGGCTTTTTTTTTCCCCTTCTTGCTATGCCAAGCAGGCATCTTTCACATCTTTGCTAGAGTGAGCTGATTGTTACAGGATAGGCAAAAGCAGATGGTAAGCAAAGAATTTTAAATGGTTGGGGGAAAAATACCAAAACAAAACTAGGGAGTCATATGTTTAAGGTACAAAAGAACAGATGTGAGGAGCAAGCCTTTGAAAAGAAGTAGGCTATTTTAGTGTGAAACTTGCTTATTTGTTTTGTCTGATTTACAGGTGTGATAATTTCACTCTGCAGAATTTACCTGGCTGATTTTTTTGTTTGGTTGGTTTGGGTTTTTTTTAAGTCTTGTTAGCATTCACTGTGCCATGAACCCTGCCTTAGAAGGAGAATGATACTGCTTGCTGGATGCTCTTTGTAGGCTAGAACTGGAAAAACACCTGTGAGATATATGTGCTTGGGTCTGACTTGATAAGGTGCCACTGCAGTGGTGGTGTTATTGTCCTTACTCCAAGTGCCCTAGGCAGCATGTTGGCAGAGCCTGGCCCTGATCAGAAATCCTCAAAGACCCTTTGGATGTAGGATCTCATGCTCAGGGTAGCAAAGCAACCAGACAGTGATCTTGTGAGCTGCTGTTAAAAGGTGGAATTTGTGAAGCTCACCTTCTGCAGCTGATGGTGTGCACGATGAACATGACCACAGGGTATTAAGAGTCAGGAATTAAAATTAGATATGGATTAAAAGTTAAAAAGTAAAATATTAATAGAAGAACAAAGTATCTCCCATAGAGGGTTGTCAAAGCCATCAATAGCACTGAAAAACCCTGTCCCTCTTGAATGTTGGTGGGAGCTGGATGCTTACTTGTGTTTCTGGAAATCTTACCCTTACTCCTTTGTGTTTCTCTCTCCTAGCCTGCCTTCTCTTACAGTTGTTGAAAATGGCTCATACGGTGTGCCACTGTTAGCTTTTCAAGACAAATTCCACTAGGGAAAATAGGGGTTCGAACTAATTTTGACCATTGTCTACTGAGGGCCTCCCTCAAAACTCAAAAGATAATACTCTGTTTAGATTTTGCAGGTCTGATTCTCTCTTTCTCTTTTTGTTGTTGTAACAAAGCGGGAGTGTTGTGGTCAGGCCACAGTGTGTGCTACAGACAGCGATTTTTCTAGCACCTCTGTAAAAGAAAGGCAACAGGGGAATCTTTGTGTTGAAATCCCGCCGAGGCTGGAAACCCCTGAGCTATTACAGCTCTAGCAGTTACAAATGACTGTATGCATTTGCATAATGCAGTTGTCACTGAATTAAAATTATTTGAAATTTTCAGTGAGGAGCTGGTAGCCTGACCCGGGAATGTTTCATTGCCTGACTCGCAGTAAGCGATGCTTCCACAGCAAGCCAGCTTGGGTACCTCAGAGCTGGTGTGTTTGGTAAACAGGGCTACTTAAGAAGACATTTATCTCAATTTCTCCATAGGTTTTCTGAATGCTGTGATAAATGAATGCATTTAATAAACTGAAAATTAAAATGTGAGATAAATAGTGGTGTAGATGGGGGTTGAGAGAGGCAGCAAAAAACCATGAATACATTATTGGCTGCTAGTCAAGTACTTTAATAATTGACTCACTGATGGTAACTTCTCCTCTCTCTATCCCCCTCCCCTGCTAAAGAAGTGCCTGAGTAATGAAATTACATGTTAATGCACTGAAAGAGTCTCCCTTTCTTACTTTCTACGTTGACATAGTATCTTTTGATTGAAGAAGGTTAATTAAAACTCATTTAGCTGTATTTGTTCAGTGGAAGGGTTCCGGTCACAGTTGCAAAGGATAAATGAAACAGTGACATATGCAGATTTGGCTGGAGTTTTTTCTCTTTCTACCAAAGAATGCTTGCAAAAGTGAATTAGAGAGAGAATGATGTTTTACGACATCCCTTTCCTTAAGGGTACAAGTACTCAGCCAAGGTCAGTAAGCCCTTCACCCACAGCAGTTTGCTTTATGCAACATCATTGCTTCTCTGCTGCGTTCACGCAAATCAGAAAGGGTGCAGCTGCCAGACTGGCATTTCACAGGCATGCCAGTTTGCATGGGACCAAAACGGTAAGAGATTTTATATCGGTTGGGAAGGGAAGGAGAAGCAGGAATAGTAAAAGGCTTGCAAAGGATAGGTGGGGACTGAAAATGTGAAATAAGTGATGTATCGAACACACATGTTGGCCGAAGAGAGATGATGTAAAATTTTCAGTACAGTCAGTCCTTATAGCATATTGTTTTCTAATAAAAAAAAACGTCACTTCAAAACCAGAAATCCCTGACAAATGAAGAGAAAAGCATCTTGGTGGAAAATGCACTGAGGTAGAAATGATTAGGGGAACTTTCAATGCTGCAACATTCCATGGTAGGGTAGTTTCACAGCTGATTGTTCTGGAGCAGGTACTTACTGGTGACAGAAGCAAGGAAAAGTTGAGTAGTTCTGACACCAAGACAGAATTGAGCTATCTGCAGTCTAGGTGATGTGTCCATGGAACCCTTCTTTCCCCATAATGTGTGCTTATTCAGAGCTGCTTCAGGAAGTACAAAAGCAGAGTTTCTCTGGGACACTGTCTTTTACTTAGGAAGAAATTCGATAGTTCCTGTAGCAAAAGCAAAATGGGGAGGAAGGGTTGCCATGCCAGCCTGGTGCTGAGCGTCAGGTGCTCCCTTGACTTCAGGTGGGCTTAACAGTGCTCATCTTGGGACTGGGCTTTTGCCATTTAATAAGTCACTTCTCTTCATCTCCCATTGCTCACTTTTAGAATGGAGATTATATTGGACCCATTTCTGTAAGTATCTAGATGCTGAATATCCAGCATGATTTAACCCCATGAAACAATTAGTGTTACTTGTATGTACCTAAAAGTTTTCAGTTTCAGCATCGTATGACTTTGTAAAGCTCTTAAAGACACCCTCAAGTGTTATTTACGTATTTGCTATTGTTTTAGGCAGGAGAGTGCCTAGAAAGCATCCCCATGTCACTAACATTACATTACATTTCTCTTCAGATTGCCCAGCTTGGCGCTCTGCATTGCAGCATGGGAAGCTGAGTGCTGCTGAAGCACTGTGCCCCACATGTGACACAATTTGTTGAATCATTTATCCCATGGTTGACTTCATGAGGCAAATGGCTTTGGCTCATTTATAAATAACCAGAGACACGGGATACAAATTTGGGACAGAGAAAGTTGAGAGGAACAGCTTGTGTTTTGCATTCTTGAATCCAGTTGTCTTGGAATACCTTGTAGCTGCTGACAGCTTCTAACCAGCCTAAAGCATTGATCTTTTGAAAGCAGCAGAGAGACCAAAGCATTCATGAATTCCATTTTGAAAGAGGAAGGCTTTCTAGTCTGCAATCAATTTAATTACACTAAAGCTTTTTGTCAAGTTTGAACAGATCTTTGTTTCTTAGCTCTCAATTATCAATTCATATGTTCCTTGGAACAGGAGCCACTTTAGTTAAAGACCGTGTCAATGAGGCAACCAAAGGGTTAACCTTCCAGATGGGGCCCTTTAAATGTTTCTGTCCTATAATATTTCTTCTCTTGCTCCCAACAGCTGAGGCATAAGCTTGGTGCTTTTCAAATTAAATTAGATTGTGTAAGCCAGGTGTCTTGGCAGTAAAATCATGTGCAACGCATTTTTATCCCATTAACACTGGTGTTTATCAAGGAATTGTGTTTTTCTTTCTGTGAACTCTAGGTAAACCAGTAATGATCATAACTGAGTACATGGAGAATGGCTCCTTGGATGCCTTCCTCAGGGTAGGTGATTTCTTCATAATAAGATAAGGAGATTTTATACTGGGGAATATTTTCTGGTTTTTCATTCTGGTTCTTTTTTGCAGAAAGATACGGAAAATTCAGTATTTTTAAAGAAATTATGTTTGTACTTGAGAAATTCCGCTTTCCGGTGTTGCCCCTATTGAAAACCAGAATAAATGTAAAGTGGAAGGATACAGAATAAATGCAATGTTTAAAGTAGCAGGGTCTTAAATAACTCATGTTTAATGGGAACAGTTCTCATCTGCTCCATTTTTGAAAGCATCTCAATGCTATAGACTCATTAAAAGATTCATTGCAAACTGGATACTGCATCACTGGAAGTTGTGACAGAACCTCTGGGTTTGTACTTCACTGTGAGTTATAGACACTATTCAGGAGAGTGAGGAAATAACATTGCATTTTATTTAGGAGAAGATGGCAATCCAGAGATATGCTCTTTGCCAATTTCAGCAATGGCAATAATGTCACTTTTAGCTTAATGCTCTGTGATTTTCTTCCTTTCCCCATATGCAGAAGAATGATGGCAGATTTACAGTCATCCAGTTGGTGGGGATGCTTCGTGGCATTGGCTCAGGAATGAAGTATCTGTCTGACATGAGCTATGTGCATCGGGATTTAGCTGCTCGAAACATACTAGTCAACAGCAACTTGGTCTGCAAAGTCTCTGACTTTGGCATGTCCCGTGTCCTGGAAGACGACCCTGAAGCAGCTTATACCACACGGGTAAGGAGGGAAAGAAAATGTCCAGTGCCTACATACTGGCTTTGTCTGACTGTGTGGGAGGTGACAGTGGTTTGTTTTAAAATAATCTTAGTCATAAGTGAAAACCTATATCACAACCTAAAAATAAGCGTTGGCCCAGACTCCATAGCTAGTATAAATTGATGTAGTGTTATAGCTACATCAGTGCCTACATCGGTATTTCTTCTCTGAGGATCTGACCCATGTATTCCTCTGGTTCCTTCAGTATGTTAGAGTGCGTGACAGGAATCTGATGCCAGAAATTAGAGCTTGGGTTTCTGTTCCTTCTGATGTCTACAGACATGCATAATTATTTGCAAGTGGCTAGTCCTACTGAGGTTTGATTCAGCAAGTGTAGATGTGCCACCAAAAAAAAAAAAAAAAGCTAAATATACCTTTGCCCATCACAAAGCTAGTCACAAATTTGACCTAAATAATTTGAACGGGGAAAAGTGTGAGGCTTGCATTCCCATTTTTTGTTTCTTTCCCATTTTAGCTATATTTCAGCATCTGTATTTTCTATCTATTTTTTTCTATATTTTAGCCTGTTAATTAATTTTGCTAAAGCCATTTTAATATGCTGCATGTGGAATAGTGCTAACGCAAATATTTCTGGCCACAAAACAACATCCTGACCGTTACCAGCCTTTATACCAATACCTCTGTAATTAACATGCATGCAAAGAAAAAAAGTCAGAGTTTATAAAGTCTCCTTTTTTAATTGCTTATTTTCTTCGTTTTTAAATATCTGCCATTCTCCATCTGTTCTCCCTAGTGCAGAGTTTGTTTCAGCACTCAGATTTTGCAGTTTAATCCCAACACTCATCCTTTAATGGGTTCACAGTTCATTACAGGGAAGGATAGACTCATGTAGTATTAAATGCTGCCCAGCCTTGGTATTTCTCACTCATAAGGATGGCAAGTGGAAGAAGCAGAAGCTGAGGTCTGAAAAGCTGTGTTCAGGGAAATCAAAGTTTAGACAAACATACAAGGGCAAGACAGAAATGATTGAAAAGCCTCCCTTTGAATTTAGTGAGTGGAGATATAGTATTATGTTTGCTCTCAAGAGTAAACTACAGGGAATCAATGACATTTGCATTACAGTGCATTGTCTTCATTTAGTATCAGTAATGAAGGATCAGGAAAACTTGGATGAACTCCACTGTACTCGAGCAGCTAAATAAAAAGAGCTTATTGACAATTTTTAGAATCACAACCATGTATAAACAATGTCCATGCATCTGTGTCTGAAAGGAGGAATAGAGCTTTTTCATAACCAGAGACGATGCAATAGAATGCAATTTTTAAAGCATCCTTTTTTAAGAGAATTGTGTGTTCTGTTCCCCATTAGTAGTATAACTCATTAAAGTGAAAGCATCCTATAGCCACATAAGGCATATACTGCTACAATCTGATTCACAAAGGGCCTGATGCAAAGGCCAAAGCCTGGAGAAGGACCCCTTTTGATTTCACTTGGCTTTGGAACGAGTCCATATTAAACACTTGAGAGAGATATTAGAACAATAAACCATTAAGTATGCACACGCTGCACTCAGTTATGGATAAAAACTATCTAGAAGATTGCTGAGAAAAAAACTACCAAAATAAACTTAATCAAAAAAGCATAAAAGCAAATGAAAAAAAACCTAAAACCTTTGCTCAGCTTAAGTCGTTCCCCAGATGGAACTGCAGGAAACCAAAAGCTCATTAAAAACACCTTGCATATTAGCATAAACAAAAGGAGAAATCTCTGGCCTGGGATCACTCAGCTAAGGCAAAATCAGATAAACAGGATGGCATGAGTTCCTTTTAAAAGAGTGCAGGACCTCAGTGGCCCAAATCAGATGCCCAAGTGTTTTTGTTTGAAAAGAAGAGTTGTAATAAGTGGTAGCTCTCTCCAACAGGTAGAAGCAGCCTTGTACCGTGGTCTGGTGTTGAACTCCTCCCACAGGGACTGGGAGAGCCCAGAGGCTTGCTTGCCATCTCACATCTCTGGTAGGAGTTGAGATGTTGCCCATGGGAAACACCACAGTATTAATAAATCTTCCCAGTTTATCCTCTCTTTATTTTACCTTTTTGAAAAGCAAAACGTTTATAATCCCATTTTTCTGAAACAGGCCAAACAGGTCAGACAGGCAAGCAAGGAAATAGTAATTAACAGCATGTACTTATTTGTTTTGTCAACTAAATCGCTAATATATACTTTGTAAAACCCCTGGCTTGTTCTCATGCTTCAGCATAGCCCTAAGCAGAGATCTCTTAGAGGGCCGATAAAAATACATTTAACAATTTACTGGTTCGCCTCCTTGTGACTAAAGAAAACAGATGGGGCAGCATTACCTCCTGGTTGGATCTGACAGTTTTATGGCAAGAAAAAGAGAAAGTGGATGCCTTTTTAAGAAGGATTCTGCAACTGCATACAGAAAACCATTTTGTATTTTTAATGGCAGTGTGGAACGGTGTCAGCCACGCACATTACTGGGTCAGTGACTCACCAGCCTGTGGTTTCTTTTATTTGTGACAGGGTGGCAAGATCCCCATCAGGTGGACTGCACCAGAGGCAATTGCCTACCGTAAATTTACATCGGCTAGTGATGTGTGGAGCTATGGCATCGTCATGTGGGAAGTGATGTCCTACGGAGAAAGACCTTACTGGGATATGTCCAATCAAGATGTGAGCCTCTTTCTGAGCTTCCTCTTCCTTTTCTCTCCCTCTCCCCTCACACATTTATCTTTGTCCTTAGATGTCTGTTGATGTGTTTCTGTGTCAATTGCTATATGGTTATAAGACATTTACTCCAGGTTTTTAAAAGGATATCATGGGTGGTAGATTCCTGTTTTCTCAGGAAGCCTCTCTGGAACTGGGACTTCCTTGAATACTTCAAGCCTGGTCTATGGTCAGGGAGTAGAGGATTCTCAAGTCAGGGTCTGTAACTTGTGTGTATATCTTTTTTCCTTTCTTTTTTTTTTTTCCTCCTTAATTTTTTTTTTTTAATTTTAGGAAAAGTATTATAAGCAATTAATGTAAGAAAGAAGACTGGAGGAAAGGGAAATGGAATATATTTAAACTGTCAGATTGTAATACTGTCAAGAGAGGGAAGATTTGAATGTTGATATTAAATCTCAACTTTATTGGAAGTCTATAAGAAAAAACACTTGAATTTAATGGGGCTTCCTATTAGTAGTTAATTCTTTAACCCCCAGGATGCCTGTAATTCTTCCAGATGATTTTATTTCTTGTAGGATGTCTAAAACAACACGTATGAAATCCAATTCTGATTATCAGTCAGAGCATCCTTGCGACAATTGCATAGCTGCCCCACGAGGACATTAAAAAGCAGCTTTCCTAAATGACCATTCTTAAATTATGCATGTCCTGTTTAACCGTACCATCTGGACTACTTCAGTGTATTCCAAGAGGGAACATGCACAATGGCTGCTATTCCAGAAGAGTATTTAATAATAATGCTAATAAGAGCTTTTGCTAATAGAATTTTTATTAAATGAAAAAAAAAAAAATCCCAGTGAAAATGAGGCATAGATTATCCATAATTCTTTTCCCAGGGGATTTACAAACATATAAAGGAAGAAAAAAACGTTAATCTGAATATATGGTCATGGGAGTGGTTAAGTCATTTTTCAAGTCATCTGCTTTCTTATGTAGAGCTGAACATTTTCAAAGAGTGTCTAGATGCGGATGGCATTTAATCTAAACGGGGGATATAATTTTAATTTCCTTCTGATGTGAAATGTCTCTTCTGGCACCCAGTCTTGCCTTCCTTTGCTAACAGGAAGTCATCAAGACTTAGCAAGAAAATAAAACACCAGATGTGTCTCGGTTATATCAGGCATGTCGGAGCACAGCACAGCCGAGCTCAATGCAACAAACGCAGAGCTAGCTTATCAGGCTGGTAGACACTGCTAATATGCAGTGCCAGACCATGTTGAAAAGCTGGCTTGAACAGGACAGTGAAAGCCAATGTTACTGTCTTTGCATCTTCTTTTTAGTACATGGCATAGACATACCATTTTTTTTCACCTTAATGATGGTGGGAGTAGTGCTTTTCACAACAAAGCAGAAGTTGATTTCAAATTATTCTCAGTGTCTGTTGAATCAAGAGAAACCAAAAGGATCTTCATACTTTCTGGAGTAGTGAGAGCCACTTTGTTTGTGGTCATAGAATAGCTGCTAATAGGGCAAGCATATCCCTCACCTTGTCCTCCCAGTGGATTTTAGCCACTAATTGGACAAGACCAGAACAGGATTTTAGCACAATTCAGTCTATGTGCACTCCTGGTCTCTAGTCTCCTGGTGAATCCTGCCAGCAAAGTCATACCGATTAATTGAGATCAGAGGGCTTCTGGTTCATGTCCCTGTCATACCAGAATTGAGTCCTGGTCACATCCCGTTCTCCTGAGAGACCTAAGAAGCCATCAGAGTACGTAGCTCTGGAGACCTTTTTGGAAGGTTTGAAATTACTTCAGCATGTGAGTTTTTTCTGGTTTCTATTAAATATGAAATGCATACTTAAGCTGCTGCGTTGGACTTCTGTAACTTTCTTGATAAAGCTGCACAAGAGGGTTCCCATCTCTGCATTGCTTGTTTCAGAGCATACAGCAGTGAGAACAGGTTCTCTACAAAGCCTGTATTACTGACAGAGGTGTGCTAGCCCAGGACGAGAGGGAGGAGGGGGTGATCTGCTGTACCATAAACATGGGGAGAATTTCTTCTTCAACATATCACACCCAAAACGGACAGATATTAAAGATTTGCTGTAGAGCTGTTGCTTCTCTGACCCTCTGTCCAACAAGGATAGTTGCTTGATTTTAATTTAGGCCATTTTGTCATCCCTGTATCCCATGTGCTCTTTTGTGATACATTGCCCTGCTGTATCTGATGTCTGCTTTGGATGCTGTACCCTTTTAGTTTTGAATTGCTGAGGAGAAATGACAGTTCTGAGACCACCAACTGCCTGAGTCTGAGTACAATTTTCCATGTTGTTTCACTTAATTGTGGCTTTGTTTCCATACTTTGGATCGCCCTAGGATAAATGATACTCAGCTGGTAGATGTGAGTCGTGTCTGATGTTCTCTAATGTCTTCCTAATTGTGCCATTTATAGGTTATTAAAGCCATTGAGGAAGGGTATCGGCTGGCACCGCCAATGGACTGCCCCATTGCTCTCCATCAGCTAATGTTAGACTGCTGGCAGAAGGAACGCAGTGACAGGCCTAAATTTGGACAGATCGTCAACATGCTGGACAAACTCATCCGCAACCCCAACAGCCTGAAGAGGACAGGCAGTGAGGGCTCCAGGTCAGCTGTGCTTTTGTAATGGTGATGTACGAGGGAGCAGAGTGGAGGTGACTTGCAGCTTTGCCTGTCACCTGAACCTCTGCGCTGGGGTTAAAGTGTGCTCTGTAGCTCTGCAGAGCCAGACTGCGCAGCAGACATTGCACCCTGCAGGAGAGGAGAGGGGTGA